AAACAGGCACCAAATTTAAAGTGCAAAAGTCAAAGAGCCCCACATGTAAAAAAACAGGATCTGATGGCCAGAAAAACTCTAATTATCCCTCAATCTTCTACTTCAAAAGGACACAGAAATTCAGAGGAAAAAAGTATGGGAAACAGCAGACACTTAGGATTTCGCCTCCCAAGTTAAACAGATATTTATTCATATTTTACTTTATTTACAACAGATTTCTTTAAAAAAAAAAAGAACATTGCGGAAGCCTTCCCTACGCCTCTCCCTCCCCCTCCATCTCTTCCCAAGCAACAGTTCCTCTCACTATTGTGTAATTCCCACACATTTCTCACTTCATATTACAATTTATCCTTTACTTAAGCACATATCCATAAACAATACATGAAAGTCTGGTATGGTATGTTTTTTCAATTTATAAAATCTTTGGCAACTGCTTTTTTTCATGCAGCATGTTTGGAGATTTATTAAAGGCTCAGGTAAATCAAACTAGATTGTTTTTCATATAATGGAATCAGGCACAACAGATAAAATAAACGAACCAGAGCTACATGGAGCATCTCCCCCTTTTATGCATGCACCTTGATGGCCGATTTCCAGCAATTTCATAATGTTCTTTAATACTGGCTTTTACTGTCACACATAAAGAGATTTTGCTCCAAGGGGCTCAGGAAGATTAAGTAACCTGCCCAAGGTCACAATTATTTAGTGAGTAGCAGAGCCAGGCCTATCCAAAGCACGCACACACCTATAACACCATTACACAGGAGTCTGCTTTCTCAATTTTCACCTTCCTACCAAGTTCTAAACAATTGCCTCTAGACCACAACTCTACTTCCTGGACTTCCACGTATTTATTCCTGTGTTGGAAGCAAAAGCAAGTACTGTGTTGGTCTAGGATTATTCATAAGATGAGCACCCTTTTGGGGGGGGGGATCCTAAATGGGACAGCGGGGACCCCAAGAGGATGAGGCTTCCTTGCCTCCGGCTACCCAACCGTGGGAAATGGGCAGTGACCTGGGCTCAAGGAGGCTGAGAGGGACTGATCCTCCCAGGAATTGACAGACTCTTTTACAGGATGGAGTAACTATTTTTCCAGTTGCTGCTAGGATCACTACTTTGATTTTTCATCTGCAATGGCAAAACAAAAGTAAAAAAAAAAAATCCTATAGCCTCAGATAAGCAGTTCCCATATTGACCCCAAGACAATCCCAAGGCCTGCTCTGTCCTTCAAGGAGCTGCTTCAGTGAAGGCCCAAGAGTAACCTGTTTTACCTGCTCCATCTAAATTAGGCCACTGAAGGGACACATTTTTCCCTCAAAGCATAGAAGGGAGAATGGCAGTATCAGCAAACTCCTACCGAAACAGCAACAAATTCCCCCTCCAGCTAGAATCCCACCTGCTGAGAACATCAGATACCAACCTTCACTGTGCGACACGGAGCAAGTCTTGCAAACTTTCTGAGCGACAAATCTATCACTTTATGAATTGTGCTTCATCATCTCCAAGGTCTCCCTCGGAGCCAAAAAAGTCTTTTTTGGGGGGTGTTAATCTCTCAGTGGACTAGGGGTCGCTTAGAGGTGAAAGGATGGACTTAGTCCCAAATAGAAACATATCCTTTGATGTGGAGAACTGAAACCTTTTATCAAACTGTTAAATGTGAAGGAAAGAATCTCTGCTGTTTTTATTGAGCCACAACAAACACCTAGAGTAAAGCTAATTAACCCGCCTGCTGTGCAAACTGGGCTGGGAGACAACTGCTCTTCCTGCACAGAAACGCTGGAGCTATGGCCTCAGTGCTTACTTGCAAATGTTAGCAGCGAATAACAGAGAACACAGCAAAATAACGATTTTATTTTTTTCTTCAAGGTCACGTGAACAGTGGGTTTGAAGCTCCCCCTCTGTTCTGGGAGGGGAAGGGTTTGAGTAAGGTAGAGCATGTCCTCCAGTCCAAGACATGGGCCTCAGGGTGTGCCCAGCTTCTCAGAACCAAAAAGCCCACCTCAAGGGTCCTCAGGGGCCTACCTTCTCTGCCTGCCAACTAGCAAAATTGACTCCATTTTGTAAAAAGACACATGTATCTTCCATCCTGCATCTTTCAAATTGAAAGTGGTTTGTTCTCTGAGGTGACATAGAGGGTTTGGCGGGGGGGACTATATTAGAAAAGCTTTATGATAAGAACTTCATTTTATAATCATAAAGTTGAATGAAGCATGAGAGATTATTGAATCCTACCTCCTAATTTTTGTGCCACATCATACAGACTTCTGGGTTAAAAGCTTCAAAAGATTCTCGGTAAATTACCCCCAAAAGTAATCATAGTAATAGTAATAATAATAGTAAAGGAGGTGGGCAGAAGTAGTGGTATTCAACTTGTGAATAAAAACATAGAGATCTTTCCTTGCACTGACATGAGCCACCTAGTATAATCAAATTCATAGAGACAGAAAGTAGAATGGCAGTTGGGCAGGGCAGAGGAGAGAAGGGGGGTTAGTTTTTAAGGGGTAGAGAGTTTCATTTATGCAAGATGAAAAGAATCGAGCTCTGGAGATGGTTGGTGGTTGTGGTTGCACAACAATGTAAATGTCTTAAGGCCACTGAACTGTACACTTAAAATGTTTAAGATGGTAAATTTTATGTTATGTGTGTTTTACTACAATTTTTTTAACTGGGAAAGAAACAAAAAATAATGACAAAAAACCAAGAAATCTCTCAACCTGCTAATTTTCATTTGGGGACCAGCATGGCATACCGGCTAACAACTGAAACTCTGGAGTCCTCAGTTTCTCTCTCTGTTCTGCACTTACTAGCTGGGTACCTTTGAGCAAGTCATTTGACATCTCTGAGACTGTTTCTTCATCTACAAAAGTGAGAATAATAATTAACAGTTTCTACCTCACAGGGCTTTGAGAATAAGAAAACAAGGTAACAGAATCTACTAGTACAAGAGTAAGTACCCTCTAAATTATTCTTATTATGAACTTTAACAATACACTAGTTTATTTGTTACTTTTAAGTCAGCAATAATTAACTGGTATTTAAATTGGTAACATTATATTACCAGCTAGGTTGATAAATGCATCAGAACACTTCGTTTTAAGGGAAAAAGAGGCCCAAGTTAGGAGCCATAAGACTTCGACTTCAAGAGTGGTTGTGGGCGTGAGATTTCTCCTCGGCGACATGCAGGGACTAACTGAGATGATCTTTTAGAATATCAGAAAGCAAGATCAGCTTTGGGCTCGGTAGCGGTAGCCAGCACTAGAGCTACATCTCCTTCACCGCCTAAGCTTCTCAGAGGAAGACGACTCGGGAGAGGGAAAGGGTCCAAAGGTCGTGCCAAAGAGGGCTGACTGCAAAATCCCTTTCTAAGCCCGAGGCATGGTGCAAGGTTTGTGCAAGACACCGTAGGATCGGGAACAAAGGTTCCACATCCACGCTCCTCCCCTGTGCAACTCATCCTGGAGGGGGAACTGCAAGGAACCTACAAGCTTCCCAGGTTCGGCGGGACCCCAAGAAAACGCACCCCTAAAACAGCCTGGGTTGCAGAACTATAAATACCTCCCGCGCGCATGCGCACTGCGATTTACTAGGGGCTTCGGGGCACAGTGCACGCCTATTGCGCTTGCGCCGTCTGGCTCCGCTTCGGGGAACAGGGTGAGAAAGGGGGATCCGTCATCTCATGAAGGAAAAAGAATGGGTCTGTGGCGGCCGCTCGGTCCCAGTTTCCTCGTTTCTTACCTCGTAATGCTTCATGGCTCCCTCACACAGAGGCTACCGCTCCTGCTGCTGCTGCCTACCTGCAAGAGACACGGCACAGGATACCTCACGCGGTCACCACCGCCGCGCAAGACTAACCGCGGCTCCGCGTCCGCCCCGCCCCTCCCTGCCGCGCGCATCCCTCCAGCCAATCAGCATGCGGGGCGCCCACCTTCGCCCCCACCCCTCAGGGCCGGTCTGAGCGAGAACTAGCCGCTGTCGCCACGGAGCTAGCCAATCAGCTTGCGGGGCCCACAGAGGGGGCGGAGCGTGGGTAAAAGGGAGGTGGATGGAGAAAGAAGGGCTTGGCTACCCACCAATCAAAGGGAGCCTCCGGGCCTCGAGCACCCTCGCCCCGCCCCTTAGTGGCGTCGCTGTGGAAACCAGGGGAAGCGACGGTTACTGCAAGGCGCGGGGCAGGAGCAAGCAGCTGAGTGACAGGGAGGGCAGCATCCACATGGCAAGCAGCTCGGCTGGGTGAAGGTGGGCGGCCCCCGGGGGTTAGCGGGGAGCTTCGGGGGAGGCCTAGAGGTTGGGGGCGTAGGATGGAAAGGCCTCTCCGTTTACTGGAACCCTGTCATGAATGGGAGGAAAGAAAAGGGGAAATGGTTGGCCAAAAGCCCTCTGGAATCCCCCCAACCTGCAGCCTGAGCTCTCACCCCATTCTGGGGATGTCTTCACTGCCCTTTCAATGCAAGCCCCCGCTCCACCTTGCCGGGCCCTATGGGCAGTGAGACCACATTTGTCTCTACCTGCACTATCCAGTATGATCACCAGGGGCCAATGTAGCGACTCAAAATTGAGACGTGCTGTGAACATAAAACACAACAATTTCAAAGACTTTGTATGCAAAGGATAATGTAAAAATTATATATATCAATAATCTTTTATGTTGATTACACATTAAATAATATTTTTGATATACTGGATTAAAATACATCGTTAAAATTAAGTTCCCTTGTTTCTTTTTACTTTTTTAATGTGCCTATTTATTGGAACATTTAAAATCGCAGACACGGCTCACCTTTGTAACAGGCAGTTGTGCCTCTCATACTAGCTCTATTGTACAGCGCTTGTTTGGGGTCATGCTATGCTTTTGCTCCCTTGATTGTCCTGATCAGGCTGGGAGGGTTGGGTGCCGACACACACACACACACACACACACACACACACACACGGACCCATGCACACCCTCAAGACAGGACCTGGCACAGTCCCTCACCTTCTCTCCTTTCTCCTGGTTCCAGATCCTGCCCTTGAGCCTTCATCAGCTGTTGCCCTCTCTGGAACTCAGAGGCCTGGCATCAAGGACATGGTGAGAAGTCCTAAAGGTGGATCGCTGATTCACAGGAGAGCATGGTGGGAGGAAAGGTGAGTCAGTGCTTAGCACTTAGTCATCCAGGTTAGGCTCTAGAAACTTCTGAAGCTTCAGCTTTTAGGGATCCCTGTCTCTGAGTAAAGGAAGCCAAGGTTGTGGTCTTCAGAAACTCATTACCTTTTTCACTGGGCATTATCTAGGCAAAATAGATGAAAACACAAAGTGTTTTATTCTTGTACTTTCCAAAGCACAGATCTTTTCCTGTTGGCAGTTGTAGGGCTCGCAGTACCTTGAGAATCTTTGTGCACCCACAGGCCTCACTCCCTGGCCTCACGGAGAGGGATGGGGGAGTAGTCACTCAGAGGCCACAAGTTTAAATCCTACCAAGTTGAGTTGCTTGAGGTATCTACTTGTGAGGTGCTGAAGGGGCAGTCAAACCCCTAAAAGCTAACCACGTTTTGCTACTTGGCCAGTTCTGCCGACTTCCAGCTTCTCTAGTGTGATCTGAGTAGGCATATCTTCCCTATTGCTGGGTTCCAGCTGGGTAAGCTGTGTGGTGTCCAAAAAGATGTCTTTTTTTTTAGTGTTTTTTAAAATTATTATTGTTGTTGTTGTTTCTATTAAATTAGGTTTATTTATTTATTTATTATTTTAACGGAGGTACTGGGGATTGAACCCAGGACCTCTTGCATACTAAGCACACATTCTACCACTGAGCTATATACCCTCCTCCCCCCGTGTTTTTTTTTTTTTTTTGAGAAATTCCACACACATTCCTACAGATTGGGAACATTCTGGAATTCCCCTTTTGAGAATGCTTTCCTGAGCCCTGAGCTCGCTCAACAGGCACCAAATCTTTTACAAGCCTAGTATGCTGTGTGCCAGCCAGGGCATACAAATAATTTCCACCGCTCCTCCTCACCTACAAGAAACTCATAGAAAGGCAGGATCCAGCCTGCAGAGAATTCCTCTTTGTTTTTGATGGGTATTACAGGCGTGGGGACCCCTTGTTGGCCTCATCTGGCTCCCAGTAACCAGGCTGTTGGCAGAAATCAGAATCACCCTGGGAATGAAGACTGGCCACTTTGTTCAAACCTTTCATGACACTGTATCATGGCTATGAATGTACCTGTCAATAAGGACAGCTAGAGTCCCCAGCACAGTGGCTGATTCATAATGGTGACAAGTAAATACATTTGGTGTTTGCTGCGCCAAATGTAACATGCCCCTTAAGGTAGTTTCCAAAGGGGAAATTCCAGAAAGGTCTTGTTCTGTGGCAGTGTTGAAGGATGAGCAGGGCCTCCTTGGGTCTCAGACTTGGGGGAACCCACAGTCATTTGGATGTGGAAGATCCAGTTGTGTCTGTTTCACAAGCTTTTTTGGGATTTCCCATGTGCGAGTAGGATAGGATCTTGATTTTTCCAGGAACCTGGCTTGGCTTGTTTTCGGGTGTGATCAAGCTGGTTCAGAGCTGGGTGAGGCAAGGTAAAGCCTACAGCAGACAAGCCAAGGCTGGTTAGCAACTTTCCGCTGTGTCAGGAGCCTCAGAGAGAGGTTTCCTGAGCCCTATCCTAGCTATCTTTTTAATTTTTAAATTCATGGGATTTTTTTCTTTCTTTTTATTGAGTTTTAATTTTCTTGGTGTACAGTACCAAATAAAAACAAGTTGTGTAACCACCGCCACAGTCAAGATATAGGACATTTCCATCCTCCCCCAAAACCCCCAGTATCCCTTTGTAGAAGACCCCAGCCCCTGGTAACCACTGATTCATTTTCTGCATCGGTACTTTTGCCTTTTCCAGAAGGTCCTTTAACATGCAATTACACAGAAAATAGCATTTTGAGTCTGGCTTCTTTCATCACATAATGCGTTTTAGGTTCATCTGCATTGTTTCCCGAGTCAGTAGCTTGATTCATTTTTATGGCTGAATAGTATTCCATTGTATGGCCAGATCACAGTTTGTTTATCCATTCACCCACTAAGGGGCATATTTGGTGGGGGAAGTATTTGGCTTATTTATTTATTGAACCGAGGACCTCCTGCATGCTAAGCACACACTCTACCACTTGAGCTATACCCTCCTCCCAAGGACATGTAGGTTTTAATGGTTGTTAGTAATGACAAAGTCTTAATAAATGTTCACTCACGGGTTTTCATGTGAACATAGGCTTTTATTTCACATGAGGAAGATTGTTGGTTTGAATGACTGGAATGCTTTGGAAGATTTCTTTATTTATTTGATGAAGAGTTGAAAAGAGTGGTGATGCTTTTTCTTTTAATTAAGGCTTTATCATCATCTGAATCACATCTTAGACACACTGAGCACTTACCATAAATACTCAGTGTTCTGAACACTTTACACCTCAGCATTTTACTCACTAGGTGACCTCAGGCTAGTCACATGAACTCTCACAGCCTCAGTTTCCCTCCCTGTAAAATGGAGGCAATGATAGGCCAACCTGATAGAGATTATTGTCAGGATTAAATGAGTTAATACAAATTGAGTGCCTGGAACCGGCTTGGCACATAGTAGGGCCATGTCAGTGTTAGCTGTTATTATATAGTGTTCATTTCCTGGCCCCTCTCAAGTTTCATCCACATAGCAAACCTGGGACATAAGATCTACTCTTATCCTCATTTTATGGAGGACATACCTAGCAATTGGAGCGGTAAAGCAAGTTATGCAAGACCACACGGGCAGTAAATAAGTAAATAGTGGGTCCAGGATTTCAGCTGAGGCCAACTGACTCCAGATTTACCTGCTCCATCCTTATATTAGTCAGGGTTCTACCAAAGAAACAGAACCAATAGGATATATGTGTTTGTGAGCATATCTGTGTATTAAGAGACTTATTTCAAGGCATTGGCTTACGCAATTGTGGGGGCTGGCCAGGCAGGTCTGAAATCTGTAGGACTGACCAACAGGCTGGGACTGCTGCTTCATCCTCAGGGAAACCTCTGTATTTATTTTTAAGGCCTTTCAGTGTTTGCTTTTCAAGTCTTTCAACTGATTGGATGAGGCCCACCAGCCATATTGAAGGTTATCTCCTGTAGTTAAAAGTCAACTGATTATAGGTGTTAACCTAAGCACATCCACAAATACCTTCACAGCTACACTTAGGGAAGTGTTTAATTGAATAATTGGGTATTACTGCCTAGCCAAATCAATGTATAAGACTACCCATCACATCTTCCCTGAGTTGAGAGCCTAAACCTCTGCTCAGGCTTCTGTGGAGACCACTTTTCCAGTAACATTCCAACGTGCCTAGTAAGTGTCCAGGTCAAAGAATCATAGCCATAAAAAGAGATGTTGAGGGTTTTTCTTTTTTTCGGGGCAGGGGAGGGTGTGAGGGGGTTAAACAATTAAAACCCGAACATGGCCCAGGCTTACTCAAGGAAGGGAGAGTCCCCAGCCCTAAAGTTGTCTCCAAACACAAGGACACTCCTTGCATGATGTTTTTGTCCCAGCCAGAGCTATGTGAAACCTTTGGAGGCCGCCCCATTTGTAACTAAATTTAAATTCATAAGTGTGAGGAAGTCTACAAGCTCTGGGGTTTTCCCCATGATGACTCTCCCGCTATCTATTTGTGTAACTTAAAAATCAAACTCTTCCCCCCAACCACCATGATTGGTTCAGGACTCCTGTTTTGCTGTGCTCCTGAGCACCCGGCCCAAACTCATCCTCCCAGGTGGGCTGGTGTGTGTCCTAATCTAGAGTCCGTACGACACGGTCACCCTGGGGTCTGTGAGTGGCCAGGCAGAGACGGCTGGAATACCTCTGCTGGGCTGCAGAAGAAGGCCATGGTCATCTTAGGAATTCTAGCTCGGGCAAGAGTGGGTGTTACCAGAAGCTTTTTTCTGTGAGGGCTGCCAGGAAGGGGGTAGTTCAACAGCCCACCATTCAACCAGATGGTTATCACCCCTTTGATAGCACTTCCTCTAGGCCAGGCCTGTCCTGGGCACTTCACAAATGTTGACTCACACCAACCCCACAGCCCTGTGAGGCAGGTACAACTACTACCCACATTGTACAGATGAGGAAGCTAAGGCCCTGGAAGGCTCAATAACCAGCCCAAGATCACACAGCCAGGAAGTCTTGGAATCAAGAAAGAAAACTGGCCGTCTGGCTCCAGAGTCCCTGTCACACCACCCACCCAGAACTCCCAAGCAGTTCTTCCAGGAACCTCTCCCCTCCGCAGGCCACCAACACCTACCCACTCTTCCCTTCTCAAGTGGTACCCCTTTCTGAGCCTCCTTTCCCTAACAGCCCTGTCCTTGACCACAGACACCCTAGACTCTCAGAGCCAAAAATTCATGTTGCCCACAGATGAGGAAAGAGAAGCCCTGGGAGATGTATGCCACACCCATGTCTCCCCAAAATCATAAAGGTACTGGGGACAGAAAAAGAAGCACGAGCATTAAAAACAGGAATATTTTCCAAGCGTCGGTTCCAGGCACCATTCCTGGCACTAGAGACCTAGCACTGACAGGAGTCAGTCCCTGCCCTCGTAGTGATGGCAGTTTGGGAAAGAGGAGGCATTTAGCATGAAAACCACGGAACAAGATAATTTCAGATTTCAGTGGCAGGTGTTCTTGACAAAACAGAAAAGTGAAAGGCTTGTGGGGCTGGACCGATACCTCTCCAGGGAGGTGAGCTTTGGTCCCGGATCCTCACCGCTCTTTCCAGGGTCCAGTATGGTCCCTCACTTCACAGGGACAGTCCTGGGGCTCCCAACTGTATTCTCCCCACAACTAGCAGAAGAGGGCAGGTGGGTACTCTTACTCCTAGAAGCAGGGGGTATGTGGGGAAGAGAGAGATTAGGCACCTGGCCTAGAGTCAAACCGGCAGGAACTAATTCCTGAGCCCGGTGCGATGTAGGCGGGAACGTTTTCATTTTTCATCCGCTAGGGAAGGGGCGGGGCCTTCCGTAGCCCCACCCCTTCCCGAAGCAGCGCGTCGTAACCTGTTGACCCAGGCAGGAGGCGGGGTGCGCGACAGGCCAGAATATCCGGAGCAGTGAAACAAGGTCGCTATTGGCTCCCGCGGGGGGCGGGCGGAGCCTCCGTCTCCTGGTGCGCGCGCCGCGGGGAGGTGTTGCCGAGGTAGGAGCGGGAAGGGGCGTGGCCGCTCGCCGGTGGCCGTTGGTCACACGGCCCC